GTCGTTTCAGGAATCGTGCCGAAATCGTTGTTTGCAACCTGTTGACGAGTTTGAGCGTAAGTTATAAGTCGTGCAACAGAATTGCAAAACATATAAAGAAAATGTTTTGTATGAATATTATATGTATATATATTAAAATTATTTTACGATAGCTTATCCAAGAATAAATGAGAAAGCTGACGCAAATGTTACTTTACACTGTAGAGGAATGAACACGCTAATAATTAAACATCATCCTCGTGGAAGCTATATTATTCAACAAAGCGTTTCCATCGACACTTGGGGTCCAATCATAGTGGTAAATGCTGTTTTTAATTTTAATCGTTTCAGCCATTTGTTACCACAATTTAAGCGTCAACAAACTTTTTCCTCGACGTGATCGAAAATCAATAAAAGGAAGGAGCTGGATTAGAGAGAATGTAACGAATGTAATGATTTTTAAACGATTTAGTTTAGGTGTTTTACATATGTCGATTGGGATATTTCAAACATCGCGAAAGAGCTTAAGTAAGACAAACAACATACGATGGCGTTCATAGATTCGTTCAATTATTTCTTTATGTTTGCGTTTGCATTTTTCACACAATAGGAATAGAATCAAAGAAAAATATATTTTTCAAACGAAAACGTTTCTTTGACTCTCATACTCTGCATATTAGATATACATATGTCAATCGATTGATTAAGAAAAACGATCGAGCTCTCTCGATTACATTTAAAATCAACGTTTATGCGCTTTTTGCCTATCTTTATACAAGATTTCTTCCGTAGAACAATGGTGGATTATCGATCTTTTCAAATTTGACACCAGGTACATTTTATCGTTATCGTTTACACAGAATAACACAGCGCGGCTTCTCATTAGCTGAAACATCGGATTGGTTTTCAACTTACGCAGGTATCGAATTGAAATCTTTTACTTCAGAAGCTCTCAACATTGCTGCATATAATCGCAAGATTAACATCGTGTAAAAAAATGCTTTATATATATATTCGAAATAATATTAAGCTTTTGCTACATCATTTTATCTGTCATCAAGAATTAATTAAGATTAATATTTGCAGTTGATTACCAGCCAAACCAAGTTGAACACATTTCAGTTATAAAAATTGAAGAAGAAAATGATAATGTGTGTGAATTACGAACTGAAATTGTTTTTCAACCTGTTGAAGGTAACATTTTTATATTATTATTAGTTATGTATATAGCATTGTGATTATATTTTTTTAGACCAGAGCTGTAATTATAATATATTATCTTGGTCAGGAGAACATGATTTGATCAATTTTTATTTAAAAAAGGTAAGAGAGAGAGAGAGAGAGAGAGGGAGAGAGAGTTTAAATTTATCTCAATTTTCTCAATAAAATTATTAATATTGTTCAGTTATCAGTTGTTACATTCATATATATTTCTTCAGTCTTTAGATTTTCGCTTTTCTCTTAGACACTTACGATACGATCAGAATATTACTATATCAATTCGATCAACTAACGATGACTTTTCGAAAGCCAGTAATGCAACAATGTTTACTTTTATCACACCATCGTGTCTACAAATTCATCATAATTTAAGCATCTGCGGTAAGTTAATACAATAATTTTGCCGAGTACATTTTGAATTTTTTCTTCAAAGTTTTTTTCTTCAAAGAATTGCTTCAAGTGTATAATAATATCTTTCTCGAATTTTATAGCACCTGAAAAGGTAAAAGGTTTGCAGATAGAATATATTCGAAAGCGAAGTGAAAAATCATATGATGTTGCAGTTAATTGGAATAAACCTTTTCTACAACCGGATAATTACACGTTACAATTTAACTCGCTTCAATTTGAATCACGTTTACTAGTTGTACCCGGAGTCAGTATTATCATAATAAAGTATAACGATTCCTTTATTTAAAAACGTTTCTTATAAGAAAAAAAAAACACAAATTTTTGCTTTTTCTATAGGATGCAATCAAAGCTCTTTTCTCAAACGTCGATGTAAGACTGCGGTATGAGATCAATATTGTAGCAGAATCAATGGGCGGTGTAAATTTACCATCGACTATATCCGGCAGTATCGACGAAGCTTCAGGTAAGCATGTAAACATGATCATTTCAATCGTCACATGAATAAAATTGGTATTCAGATGAGACATGTGCGACATAATAGTTGCAGAGCTATCTTATCGCGAGATTATCATAGCGTTATCAACACTAGTGATTGTTATGGGGGTATTTGGAATAATTTATATGCAACATCGTAACAAGAGAAAGGAGAAGAATAAGCAAACTAATATGGAATATATGCATTTTGAGGTAAGCTCAGCAATAAACCAGTGTTATATTTATATGATGCGGCCAATTGTAAGATATACTACCTGTAGTTGACTTTTGTCGTGTAATTAATTTTCAATCTCAAATATATGGTAAGCTTGGACTCCAAGAGTACTAATTTTTCGCTTACAGGGTTCTATGGATTCCCTAAAGAAACTTTTAAATCGTGATTATGCAGTAGAGAATAACGACACTCTTTTGCCTCATAATAAATTTCTACTTGCTCCACAACGGCTAAAACTTAAAGGTATATTAGGCAGTGGAGCATACGGCATCGTTAGACTTGCTTCGTTACAAGATGAATTTGGCGCTATCACAGACGTAGCTGTTAAAATGATGAAAGGTATGTTGATAAAATAAGACTAAATAAAAAATCTATTTATATCTATTAAATATAATACATACTCAAGAGAAAGTTACATTCAAATAAGTATACGTATAGTAATCGTACTGGAGGAGCATTAAAATGTATATAGACGAACAATTTTATTTCGTACATTTATACATACAGATGATCCAACAGTAGACGATGTAAAAAATTTTTATCGAGAGATTTCAATGATGAAGTCCGCCGGTCAACATCCGAACATAGTGTCTTTAATTGGATATTGTACTTTGTATAATAAACCTTTGTTAGTAGTGGAATATTGTAGTAAAGGTGATTTACAAACATATTTAAGAACGGTGAGCTACATCAAAGAGTATAATATATGTATATGATGTTACGTGTGTATGTAACTTGAAAAATGCATTAGTTTTGTTTTAAGTGATAAATGACATACTTTAATTGTTTCAACCATTTCATTAAATTTTGTTTTTAGATTTGGCAGAATATAGTGAACGCCGTATTCGAATGTAGGACTCACTTAGAATCTAATGTGGCGTCTTTTGCCAACAAGAACACAGACCAAGGTAATATGTACATATATGTTTATTTCGTGATATATATATATATATATATATGGGGTACGAGGGTCAGAAATGGAGGGATCTTGCTCAGGGACGGGAACAGTGGCGGGATTTGGTATTTGCGGCAATGAGCTTTCGAGTTCCTAACGCATAATAATAATAATAATAATAATCATAATAATAATATATATATATATATATATATATGTGCAGGCGCGCGCGTGTGTCTGTCTGTTTGATTTACATTAAATGCGTTCCACTTTACTATTGTTTGCAACGCTTGCGAGTATCATTCTATCCTTGTTCTCATCAAATGTTATAGTAAACAAAGATAAAATAATACATGCGAGTGTTGCGAACGTTAAATGGAATACACTCACTGTGTGTTACACATGTATATTTACATATTATTATATGTACTATGTGATAATAACTTCAAATGCTCAAACGAAATATTTTTTTATTGTGCAGAAAAATGTGTCTGCAACTATCAGAATACGCATACGATCGCTAATCGCTTATATGATATTCAACGAGGTAAATCGCACAGATGTATCGAATATATTTACATATATAATATAGGCAGTACATAATTATTCCGTTAACGTTTTTCCAGATGTGACTAAATATATAGAAAATATTATTACTTCTGCCGATTTATTGAATTTTGCTAGACAAGTAGCTATAGGAATGGTAAGTCGTGTCAATATATTAATAATTATTATATTGAGTTTGTATTTTAAAATAAATACGACCACTTTCTTAATTCTATTGTTTCATTATATAAATCAGAATGCGATGGATATTATGTTTAGGAATTTTTATCTTCTAATCGGATAGTACATCGTGATTTGGCTGCTCGTAATGTATTAGTGCGATCAGATAGAGTGGTGAAAATTTCGGATTTTGGTCTCAGCCGGGATATCTATCAAGAAAATGTTTATCGAAAGAAAGGAAATGGTAAATTGCCTTTAAAATGGATGGCAATCGAGGCTTTAACGCATCAAATATATACTACTTACAGTGACGTGTATGCATTATATTGTAAATTATATTATACTTGTATAAGTACATTACGCCATCTATTTGATTGTTGACAATGAAATTTTGGATTATAGATGGGCTTTTGGTATTTTATTGTGGGAAATTGTTACTTTAGGTGCCACGCCTTATCCTGATACTCCCACAAATAAAATTTTACAATTCCTCAAATCCGGATATCGAATGGAGAGACCACCAAATTGTAGTCGAGAACTGTATGTATATTCTAACGCGGCGTTCCTTTAACAGATTTCTAATTTTCAGATTTCTTTAATTTTAATGAATATAAACAACTGGTGCCAAGTTAAATTTTACTAATTTCCCTAATTTCCCTAATTTCCCATAAATTTCCAGTTTTATACCTACTCTTTTTCTTAAAAAAAATTTTTTTCAGATACAGCATAATGTATTCATGTTGGAATATAAGACCACAAAGTAGACCTACTTTTACTGAATTAAAACAAAACTTGGATAAATTGCTTAGCAATTATTCAGAAAATAAATATTTGAGTTTGTGCGATGTTCTGTATGAATCAGCTGACAAACGTAATGAGTCAAAGTCGATTAATGCGTATTAAAATGTATAGCACAATTATATTAACTATAGCTCATTAAATTGAATTTTAACATGGCAATTTTTACTATGACCAAAATCATTTATCTCCTAATTATTATACATACAATAATTTAATTGTGTGATGTATAATATAGACGATCACTCAATTTTATAATGAATTGCACCATCCAAGTGTTATAGCACAAAATGCATAGAACATAACATAGCTGCTTATACGTGACATATATCTGGGTTGATAGACATCCAGCATAAAATTGCTATATTGATTTATATAACGCTTTTAATTAATTTAAACAATCTTATGCTAGGAACATATGCAGCTGTCATTTTGCCCTAATTTATCATCTTCCACACAACCTTTTCAATAAATTAAAGTTACATAAACAATGTATTGTAAAAAGTATCCCATTTATTGCTTTTACTTATGTATACCGAGATATTATTTCTGGAAACTGTGCAACATAATTATATTTTTTTTCAAATTCCTGAGTTTTCGTACAATTAGATTTAAGAGGTAAAATATTCATTATGTTTGTCGTAAGTTCTACAGGCCTAAGTGAACCAAAAAAATCTGTTACCGGTACTTTATCTGGATCCCTTCTAAACAAATCTCTTCTTACACCCACTGTTGATAGACAATAATCTCTCGGACATACTTTCAACTAGAAAATATTACTCTCGATTAATGATATGATAAGAGAACTTACATTTAGCATTACAATAAGATACTTACAAATTCACCTAATGTTTTAGTGCTAGATGGTTCTACTTTCTCCAAAAAATTTAATGCATAATAAGTGTATCGATCTATAATATAAACACCAATGGCTGGATCTACATGATGCTACAAATATGATATATTAGAATAGATTGATAGCTGTAGTACACTTAAAAAATGCTTTTTACTTACAGAAAGTGAATCTTCTCCCACTAAACTAGAAGCAACTGCTAATATGTTTGGAGAATAAAATTTCTCGTACATGGAACTCGCTTGACAAGTGTCAACTACAAATAAAATTTCGTGGTATCTCCGTTTTTGCCACATTTGTTCTAATGCATCACCTAACTCTTGACTGGTGATTTCTTCAGAATCTTGGAACTTTAAAAATCCATTACCACCATGGCCAGTTAAATAAATTAAAATGTTTGAACCTTCATCTGTTAATAGCTTTTTCGATCTTGGGGTTCCCTGAGCTAAGCGTCCGGTTAGTAGCCTTACAAAATTTTCTACAGTTACTTCATAACCTCTATAGTCGACTTCTACATCATCGCCATAAACATTAATATGCTGTTTAATGTTGTTAAAAACAGTCGCTGGTCTAGGATTCCTAGGATTGCACGCCATATCGTCGGCTATCATCAGAATGATTTGCGAATCTGGTATTCCTAAACGTTTGACACTTCGGTAAATAGATAAAACATTAGCAACATGTCGATAGTTGAACCAGAAACGCGATGTATCGACCAAAACAGCCCAATTATTCGAATGTTCAGTTTTCACAAAGTTATCTGCTATCTATAATATTAAATAAAAGGATAATGCAATAAATGATAAGGAAATTAGACTTTAAAAGGGCAAATCGAAGAATTACATGCAGAAGACGCGTACCTCCAACATATGGCATGACATCAAAAAAGAAATCAATATCGTTATCGTTGTACAATATGCCAAATGCATTTTCATCTTCAATATAGTTACAAATTTTTCTATATAAGAATATAGGACTAGGTTAGTTCAATTACACATTAACTAAAGTGATAGCCATAAACCAGATATCGCATTCGCATCATCGCCTAGGCACTAGAATTTTTCTCGTATATTGGAACATTAATTTGATTTTACGTATGTATGAAACGAAAAAATCTGGCAGAAATAAATGTCACTCTGCTCCGCGGACCGAGATATTAATCTATCTAAAGTTAACGAGTATTCAGGTTAGAAAATCAGTCACAGGTTACAGCCACAGTACATACAGTAGCGCAACTCGCTGTCGGCACCTTCGATGTGAGCGTGGCCAAAATGGAGTGCGCATGCGCGAAGTTACCTAGGTTGCCATGGTTACCACCTAAACTTTTTTCTCTTTTCATTCTTTTTTCGCTCTGTTAAAACTCTAGAGTTATTCGCGTCGCACTCCAACAAATGCGTTGAAGTAAGTAAGAGCTGTTATAGGAACATATTAAAGCATGCAACGCGAATAAACCTACTATTACAATGAAATAATCTGATGAATGATGAATAATCATTATATATTGTTCTTTTTTTCACAATTTTTTGGAACAGACACAGTACCTGAAACAGAGCTAAAATCATAGTGCTCTACTAAGAAGAGCTAACCTACAGAATTATATAAGTTAACTATTCTCTCAAAAAGAAAACTTTCTTGTTCGGTTTTCTTCTTTATTTTCGTTCACTTTTTCACTTCACTTTTTCACGAGACTAGTCTCTTGAGGTTTCTCACATAACATTACCAAATGGACAATGTAAGTTATATTTCCCTCTAAATTTCTGCTTTCAGCTCTTTAAATGGAACATTTAACATAAAACAGTCATTTAAATAGAAAGAGAACAATAAAGAAGGAGAAAATGAGACAGGACAACTTGCTTATTTCGCGCATGCGCACTTCATTTTGGCCACACAAAATCGAGAGAGTTGCGCTACTGTGTATACTATGTCACAGCCATGATGTAAGGGGTTGCGCACAATGAAAGGAATAGGGAACAGGGAACAAAGAATAAGAATTTCAATCTATTAGAAATCCTGTATTGTGGAATATACAGTTTCTGATAGGTTAAAATTCTTGTTCCCTGTTCCCTATTCCTTTCATTGTGCACAGCCCCTAAGAATATAAGGCATATGTACTATTGCACATAATGACGATAGCAATACTGGAAATAACCAATCAAATTTTGGCCAAATTTATGCACTTTCCTGCTTATAATAGCGCTGACATATTGGAATAACTAATCAAAATTTGGCCTCCAATTCACTCTCCTACTACACATCCTTGGGAATGGTATACCTTATCTTTCTACATCATGGTCACAGCCACGCACATGGTGGCGCACAAGGAAAAAACTAAAGGTGCATTGATATGCAAGCGTCAAGCGTCAAGCAGCGGAAGCAGCAACCAATTAACGAGGCAATTTTTACAGTGACGTAAAAAATATCTTTTATATCACTTCCCGGATCGCCTAGCTAATTGGTTGCTGCTTCCGCTACTTGATGCTTGCATGTAAATGCACCTTAAGTCCACATCAGATTTCTGATTCTATAAGCCGACTCGACTGCCAAGTCTGACTGCCGACCAATAATGGACCAATCAATAAGACTGATTCAATGTGATTAGTCCATTATTGGTCGGCAGTCAGAGTTGACAGTCGGGTCGGCTTGCAGAGTCGATAGTCTTTTACCGGTAAAGTCCGGTACGGACTTTAAGCGGAAAGCATAGACTTTTACATAGCGCATAACACATAATGCATGAGAAAATGTACCAATCAAAGTCCTTCGTTTCCTTCCTTCTCATGAAATAAAGAACTCTGATGGCCATTCTACAATAAGCCATTATTATTAGTCATAAATCAAAAGTTAGAAGTTGGAAATTGACGACTGTGATTGATCAATTTTCAGTTTCTAACTTCTGATTTATGACTAATAGCTTATTGTAGAATGCGTGTGATTAATTGGATTTCTTATGTCTTACATATATGTTATGCATTATGCAAGCGTCTGTTATGCTCCTCGCTTTAAGGAGACTCCCTCAGTTCATGATGTAAGAATGCAAGGTGTATAATAGCAATATTGGAAACAACCAATCAAATTTTGGCCATAATGCACTTTTCTGCGTATAATAACGCTAGTATATTGAAATAGTTAATCAAATTTTGGCTACAATTTACTCCCCTACTACGTATCTTCGGGAATGATACACCTTTGCTCGTATTCATAGTCAGACCTTGTACTTAAGGCTTCCTTAAATTTATTTTTAAATGCTCAGCTAATGAAATAATTCGTAGAGCATCTGAAAATGAATTTAAGGAAGCCGGCTGGTATATATAATCGGTTTTTACTTCAAAACCGTTTAAAGTAATATCTTAAGACGCTAATGCGGCTTTCTGATTGGTTCACGACATGTCAAGATTGAATTTAAGACAGTCTTGAATGTAAGAATCGACTATTACCCGTATATTCATAGTCCTTCCTTGAGAAATGATGATTCCTTGTTCCTTATTTCGCGTTTCATAAACTTTCTTTGACCAAATAAGGAGCCTTATTAGCTTCCTTTTCTTAAGGGAGGTTACGAGTTTCCTTGAGGAGGAGGTGCAGTTTTCATAACTAAGTAAATCTTCAAATTTATTTTGTCACACTGATCTTTTTACTTTCAATAGCTTTTAATTTAGATTTGTCGCATCGATAATTATTTTCAATAGCTTTTTTTCGGAAATAAACTGTGCCAAAAGCATTTTCTCCTTTTTCATATAATAAGCATTATGGCGAATTCGACTAGAAGCACTGATGCATATTAAAGCCATTGTACACTGATTCAATTTTAGTATAAAAATAAAATGCAAATATCTTGAATTATGAAATACATATTTTACCTAATAGTGCAATAAAATGTATTGAGTATTTCAGGATTTAATCAATTTCTATGTTTATGTATAAACATATCTTTATGTTATTTTGTGTACGATTTAATGTGCACCACTGCATACTGAGAGCGTCCAATCAAATTCGCTATAAGTAATATGATCGACAAAAATGAGAGAAAAGGATCGTGGAAGACGGCCAATCTTTATCTCTTTTCATTCAACGATATAACGAGAAAGAGAATGAATGGGAGATTTTATCTTAATAATTAATGTCTTAAGATGTTAATGTAGCCTTCTGATTGACTTCTTAAGACCGTGCTTGAGACGATCTTGAATATAAGATCTGATTATGAATACCAGCCTTACATTCTGATCCGGTTTAAACCCTCGATGGAAACTAGACCATTTTTTCCTACGGCGTACTCATGCGCAGGCTGCAGGACTGCCAAGTTTACAAGCGCCGTGAGAGTCGAGAATCGAAACTTAACTCAAAACGCAAAATCGATTCACTTTTATTAACGTAAGTGGAGTCTCCTTAACACTGAATTATATATACTATATACACTGAAATGGGCATCGAGGAAAATTCATGGCCACAATTGATCAGCCGCAATTTTAGTTGGGACGATATTTGAGCGAATCAGAAGCGTTCGCGCGCGCGCGATGTATCGATCGATGTATGGAAATCTATATGGACATGAATGATATGTAAACAAAAATAATGTCACTTCAATTTTATTAGTACATTCAATAAAATAACATTAATAACCTATTTCATATCCTACATCGTTAACACATGTGCAGGAATTGATACATTTAATAACAAAAATTCTTACCTATGAAATGAAATAGCCTTTTTACTTTTCTGCTCACAACACTTCATGTCGATGCTTTGCACATTTTACAGTGATTTTATAATCTTTCAAAGTAATTTTTCAAATATAATCCCACACACGATGATCTTGCTGACATATGCGTCTCACTAAAGAACATTAAACGTAAGTGTACATGAGCACCTAAAAGCTTCTGATTCGTTCTTATATTGATCAAATTAAAATAGCACTGATCAATTGGTGCCACGATTTTCTATCCTTCACAGTGGAGATGTCCATTTCAGTGTATATATAGTTCAGTGCTCCTTAGTCTATCAAATTTATCTTTCTGGTGGCGCATAATGGCGGCAAAGGGTGGAGGATATGGAATCCAATCACATTTAATATATTTTTTGGGTATCGCCATAATTTGAATTTTATATTGTTTTTATATTTATAGATTAATGAGTACAACTTTGTTGCTGCGTTTTTTATACATGTAAGTGTCAATCCTTTGTTATTGTTTGTTTTAATCTAGCAAGATGGATAATTGAAATGTCGATTGTAGATTTTTTTATTTCCGTGTAGCCCAGGAACGCTAGGGTTGCACAGTCATCACTATACATGAAATATGTCCATATACATGTTCATATATCCTTCTTTCTTTTGCAAAATTATTTTTTAGTGTAATAGGAATAATAGTAATGTGAAAACATAAAAAATAATTAAAGGGATAATTTTCGCATTGTTTGTTTTAGAAAAAAAGAAGTTCGGAAAAATGTAAAAAAAATTGCTCATACATATTTATACATAATTTTACATACATAAATAAGTTTTTTCATTTCTTTAAACTTGATTTTTTTTAAATAGTGCCAAAATCACCTTTTTAATTATTTTTAATGTTTTCACATTTCTGTTATTTTTTTTACACTAAAAAATAATTTTATAAAGGAAAATAGAATGTATGAACATATTTTCATACAATTATACATGTTTATACGTGAATATTTATGCGTGTATGTTTAGATATATTTATACACATTTATGCATGAAAAATTTTTTACCGGATATAAATTTTCATGTAGTGTTTGATAGATTTTTATTCAATAGATGCCAATATATGGCATTGTGTCTTAATAATTTTTTTTTTATATAAGGAATTGCTTATTGTATGTAAAAGAATATACATATAGAAGACTTATTAAGTAGAATTTATTATTATCGATACAAATTGGCCATTTGTTTTTATTATGCAACAGAAAATTATACATACAAAAAAATATATATATATAACTAGACTTTCAATTCTTCAAATGAGATATACATAGATACTTGAATAAATCAATTTTATATAATAGATTTCGATAAAAAAATAAAGATTAAATATAGATTTCAAACTTAATTTTTTAAGGGATAATGCTTATAATTGATAATGATTATAATGGATCACCACGTATATAATAATTTATTTAAACATTTATACATTTATAATATATATCCACAATCTTGAAAACAGATGTGAGTTTAAATATTATACACGTATAAAACTGTGTATAA